ATTGAAGAAACACAATTTTCTCCATTTTAACAAAAAAATAACAATCACAATTCTACGGTGTCTTTATTAAATAATTATTTTAAAATTTACATAAATACATTATTTGCGAATAAATTATTTATGTATAATTAATGTCTCCGTAAATAAATCGAGTAATCCCATTATTTCGTAGAAAAAAACATATAACAACTATAAACTTAATAAGAAAAAACACTTGCCGAGGCTATTATTTTTTCTATCAAAATCCAAAAATATTAATAAACACTTGCCGAGGCTATAATTTTTTCTATCAAAATCCAAAAATATTAATAATTTTGACTCACGGTGGACACATGTTAATATCTCCACCGTTTATGTGGCATGCACACATTGATGATGTTAATATGTTAAAAAAACACATCATCAATGTGTGCATTTCACATAAACGATGAATATATTAATATGTGAACATATTAACATGTGACCATCGTAGATAAGTGGGGCGTAATAATTCTTGCTTACCAACAAAAATGATAAAACAAAAATCAAACAAACATTTGGAAAGACACGCAACCAAATCAGTGGTGATAAGCCACGTATCCAATACCTCCATACAAAGGAGCCCACAGTGGTTGCCGTGTTCGGCGAGAGGTCCTCCATTTTGGCCGACTGTACACTGCTAATTAAAGGCCTCGTCGTTAATTCATACATCAAATCAATACTAAAAAGGACCCGCCACCCAAAGCAAGTGTCCGCTCCATTTTGACGTTGCCTGACTTTTTCCCCAAAAAACAGCTTATTTTTGTCCAATATTATTGGATAGATGGTCTAGCCTTTCTAATCCCAAGCCCAATCTGATTATGAGGTTTCCCTCTTCTTGCTTCTAGCATTACAAGACACTTTTACTAATACCCATTTACAATATGAGTGTTGAGTTAATGAATATATGTGTAAAGTTATTTATGTCTAATGTCAAACTTAACTCCAGAGCAAAAATAATATAAAAACAACATCACGAAACATAGATTTTCGCCATGTCAGCATCCGAAGCGTGAGAATCTGCCACCTAGGCTCAACACGTTTTGAAACCAATATATAGGAAGGGATTGTGAATTATCATCTTCCAATGATAAAAAGTCTAGTGTCTTATAGGATTTTGAATAATTTGTGTACAAAATATCCTTCAAATGTAAATTTAAAAAAAAAAAAAAAAGTACTAGGTCTGAATTGTGTGACATTTCACTTGAGTCTATTTTAAAACACGAGTCTAGACACAAAGTTTTTTCATTAAAAATATTATTACAATAAACAACTCAAAGATTATTTGTTTCTACATCATTTTAAACTCAACTTAAATTATTCTTTACTAAACCATTCCTAATTATTTTATATAACATCACTTTATTAGACCCAACTTAAAATTAAAACTTTCACTAGAGTAGATATGATATATTTTTTCTACTATTTCTCCGCAACATTAAAGACTCAAGTCTATTACAACAATGCAAAATTAGACTCAGAGCATTGTGAATGCTCTTATATGAATTATAGTACCATGGGATATCACGTGGCAAGTTCAACAGATTCTATCTGCTAATAGCAATGGTAGCTGATGAGTCAAATCTATTTCTATCAATCTCCTATAATGTAAGACCATCTCCAATCGAGACACAAAACTCAAATATTGCAGTGGATTTCATTGATCATGCCGCACTACAAACCAATCTGCAAAATGAGTTCTGAAGCTCTCCCCC